TACACACACACACACACACACACACACACACACACACACACACACACACACACACACACACACACACACACACACGCGCGCGCCGACACACGGCGCCTACACACACACGCCCCTCGGGTACAGACACACGCACGATCCTGCCTCGCGCGTGTGGCACACACTTCATCCAAACACAAACACAAAGGAACACGCACTCGAACACACACACACAATAAAACACTCACAAACATACGCTCGCAAACAAACACACGCACGCACACAAGCCCACCCGCACACATGCAGACACGAACTCTTTTGATCTGCGCGAGCATATCGTCACAAAACCCACCCGCACACGCGCACATGCACACATACGTCCCGGCTGCGTGCGCACTCACCGTGTGAAACTGTTGAGTGGAGATGAGCGCGAACCCCAGCGTTAATCGTGACGGCACTCTATCGACCTTCGGGCGTGTGCTTTGCGTTTGCGAGGGTACTGCGTGGGGTGGTGGGCGCGCCTTTCAAGAAAGGAGAGCGGAAGCGACGTCGAATATGACGTGGACAACGACTTGGTAGGCGGAGGGACATGCGAGGGCATGCGGGGTGTGTCGGTGCCAGGAAACGTGTGCGGTGAAGAATGGTTGTGCCAGCTATGGTGCTCCAGCTGTGTGGGGTGCTGCTGTTGACGACAGTGGCGGTGCGAGGCTTCCGTCGGGCAGCATCTCCCCAGCAAAAACGCAGAACGCATCGTCAATGCCCAGGGCGTCGCTCATATTCGTAGGCGCGCGGGACACGAGGCCCCCTCGGGCCTTCCGTTTCGGATTTCCGTGCAGGATCCGCGCGCCGCCGCGCGACTGTTTGATCCGCGGATGGAACGGTGGCTGCACGTCAAAATTGTCGTGAGGGGGGCCTGGTGCGCGCGATGTGACAAAAACGTTCCTGCGGGCTAGCCCTTCCCGGACGTCATTGGAAAAACGGCCCTTGTTCCGGGCCCCTCACGTTCGTGTCGTTTGGTTCGCGGGCCCCAGTCGAGGGGGCCCTAGGCGTCGCGGGGGGGGCAGTTTGTACTTTCCAGTCCGTCGGTGGGGGGGCGGGGGCGGGGGAAAAGGGGAGGTTGGAGGGGTTCACGGCCATTCGCGTCTCCTGGCTGGTGAGCGGGGTCTGTGGCCGCGCGGGGGGACACATGCGGGTCTTTCCATGGGGTGCAACGACAGTCTGAGGCTCAGCTGCCTGGGGTCTGGTGCAGCCCATTCGCATCTCGAGCCTGACGGGCGCATTCGTGCACGACGTCCCGTCAGCGACATCCTCCATCGCCTTTGCTGCTCCGCTGTTGCGCCACGCGGCTGCGGGCGTGGGTGTAAGGGTTTCCTCTTGTCGCCAACTGTCGTCTGTGCTTCAGTTGTCTGCGCTTCAACATCCCGTCTTTGCGTCCTGCGTCAACAAGTGGCCACTGTCGTCTGCACTGAGCCCTTGCCGAACAGTTGCGCCATCGTGTGCGCTTCGCCGTCGTCGAAGAGTTGCGCCTCGTTGAAGAACTGTGACCCATCAAAGAGCTGCGCCGTCGTGTGCGTTGTGCCCTTGTCAAGGTAAAGTGTTGTTCTGCCTGCCCACGTGTCGGGTGTCGGGCATGTTTGCCGGCGCATGGGAGTAGCCGAGTCGAGCCACCTGTTTCAAGTTGCGGAGACGGTGGGAACGGATGTCGGTGACATTGGGCCACATGGTTTCTGTGTGCCCTTTTGATTCCCGCTCGTTCTTTCCTCTCGAGCGGCCCTATGATTCTTGCTTGCCATCATCATCATCATCATCGCCATCATCATCACCATCATCATCACCGCCATCGTCATCGTCATCACCGTCATTGTCATCATCATCATCATCATCATCATCATCATCATCAACATCATCAACATCATCATCGCCAACGTCATCAACATCATCATCATCATCATCATCATCAACATCATCATCAACATCATCAACGTCATCAACATCATCATCATCATCAGCGACATCGTCGCCGTCATCAAAATCACCACCATCGTCATCTTCGTCATCATCGTCATCATCAACATCGTCATCATCGTCGTCATCATCGTCATCATCATCATCGTCATCATCACCATCATCATCATCAGCAGCAACATCATCATCAACTTCATCATCGTCATCAACGTCGTCATCATCATCAGCGACATCGTCGTCCAGATCAACATCACCACCGCAATGTGATGAACATCATCAACGGCATCAACATCAACATCATCGTCATCATCACCATCATCATCATTATCATCATGTCGTGCCACGTGTCGCAAGTGGCGGGAACAGATGACGAGGACATCGGGGCACACGGTTTCCGTGTCCCATTCTGCTTCTCTCTCATTCGTTCCACGCGACCGCCCCCATGATTCTTGCTTGGCTTGGCATTGAAGAAAAAGGGCTGTTGATCACAAGCGACCGCCCCCATGATTTTTTTTTTATCATGGGCGCGGCGCGGCACAGTGCCCAGATGATTGCCCGCCGCCCCATCCTGAGCATATTTAGTCAGGGCCGCGACCGCCCCCATGATTTTTTTTTATTTTTTTTTTATTGGTCGCGTGCCGCGCCGCGCCGTGCCGCTCCGCGGCTGGAAAAAAAAAAAAAAAAAAAACAGCCCCATGGTTGGGCCACAACCGAGATGTCTCCGCCACATCCCAGACTGGCCATGGCCGAGATGTCTCGGCCACACCCCAGACAGGCCACGGCCGAGATGTCTCGGCCACACCCCAGATTGGCCAGGGCCGAGATGTGTGGCCGAGATTCGCAGGCACTACCCTTCACAGGCAAACGCGAAGTCTCAAGAGTATCCTACTCCGAAGAAGTGGGGGGCTCGGGGCAGGGATGGAGGCCAACAAAAAAAAAAAAAAGAAGAAGAAATGAAAAAGTAAAGAAACGAGGAACTCCGAATCCACCTACGTCGGGAAGGCCCTCACCTCACCAGTGCTTTAGAGGAATGTATCTGGCCAGGAAGTGAGGAACATGAGGCGCTGGACCCTTTTCCAGCTGTTACATTCAGATGCATGTACAGGGACGCTGGACCCGATTTCCAGCAGAGACACTCTCATAATTGCACAGGGACGCTGGACCCGATTTCCAGCAGGTGTAGCTCCCCACCAATAGATGGAGCCTTCGAAGCCGGGACCTACCTACCGGGGATGCTCTTATCACCTCGTTAAGTAGGTTTCCCGTATCCTCCCACAGGGCATTGCAGTGGGAAATTTTACACAGGTGCCTTCCGACCCCGGACTGGCTGATAGCAAGATCCAACTTGGAACAGAAAGGGATTCTCTCCCCTATCTGCTCACAGTGTGGACCAGACGCTCCCCAACGGCGTGCAGACCTAGAACACTGCCTTTTAGCTTGCCCACCGGCGATACGGATATGGCAGTGGTGGGATGCATTGTGGCATAATCTCACTGGAACAGTGTTTCAGTGGGACATAGCCCTCATCCTACTGGGGAAAAAGAATAGAATCCCGCAGACCTGGACCGCATTTCAGAGAAACCTCTTCAAGCACATGAGGCTGGCTGTCCTCATGGTTATATGGAGGATGAGGTGCTCAGCAGAACGGCAAGAGATGATGTTCGGTTACTACCAGGCCAAAGCCGAACTTGTAGAAATTATAAGGGCTAATCTAGTTAAAGCAAACAAAAAACTCAGGGACGACATGGAAGACAGTCCTGACCCAGAAAAGAACCAACTGGCCATCTCCGCATTTGCTGAACGATGGTTAGATCCCCATCGCAAGATGGCGGAGGTCCTGGACAGCGGAAAGTTAGTATGGAAAAACTAGGCGGCTCAGGAGGATCAATGGTCTTTCTGCCAACCAAACTGCTTTTTCACACCACTGCCTGGTCCGTCAACAGGGTTGGTAGCAACAATCGACCCGGCCCTGTCTCCCCCCCTTCCGGCTGGCTCCCCA